TCTAGACAAGAGGGCAAAAGTACTTGCATTTGATCAAGGTAAGCTGCTTATTGAGCACTGATCTTTTTCTTGCTATGTCGCTTTTTCTTTTTTTTTGTCTTTTCTTTTTCCAAACCCATCCATCGTTCGGACTTCGGGACTTTTGATCCTTCATTCCCAATGGCGTAGGTCGTCTTACTCATATTACCACCCTTTAGGTACTACGACTAGTTCGGTCCATCCATCTTCACCCAGGCCGCCGCTGCTCGTTCCAACGAACAACCCTCATTACTGCATCGCCGTCGAGCAGACCCTAGTCAGATAAAGCACTAATCGGCTTTCTGCACCTAGAATAATCTAGCAGCCGATCGACAAATCAATACTTCCGACGAGGGTTTCGGGTCCCGTCGTTTACGGCGGGTAGAGTGGAATTGCTCGTGCTGCATCCAATCGACCACACACACAATTATTTCCCCTCCCCTGCTCGCTCTGTCCTCCTCCGATTGCTTCCTTGGGATCTCGCAGCTCTCTTTCTTATCTCTCGCGCTCTCTTCGTCCACCTTGCTATCTGTTTCCCTACTCTTTCTGCTTATCTTTTCCTCGGTTTGCATTCCTTGTTCCAATAAGGAGACGACAGGGTGCATTTCAGCCCTGCCACGACGGGATAATGTCGGGGATGAGCCATGGAGGAGCGCCTAGAGCAGCGCGACCGACTCCATCCGCTGCCTCCACCACCTCTGGTTACGACATCGCCGACGCTGACCGATCATCCTCTTCCCATTTCCATCACACCTCCCAATTGTCTGATGATTTCTCTCTTGGTTCTCCTATCAGTCCACCCGACTCCGCTCATGTCCAGGACGGTTTGCTCCAGGACTCTCTCTTTCCCGAGTGGAGGAACGCTGCTCCTCGGCATGGGGTCGAAAGCCCAGATGAGATGCAACGGAAGGATCCACTGGCTACTCAGATATGGAAGCTCTATTCTAGAACGAAAGCTCAATTACCCAACCAGGAGCGCATGGAAAATCTCACCTGGCGCATGATGGCTATGAGTTTGAAACGGAAGGAACGGGAAAGGCTCCAGCAGAATCGGTATGTTTCTGATGATTCAGATGTTTGGACAACAGCGTTGTCTTGAAGTCATGGTGGACTTACCTTATTTCTCTTTTACGATATAGCCCATCGATGCAGAACGCTGGAAGCTCGGGGCCGAGCGGTATTGCCCAACTCCGTCAGTCCGACCGCCCTTCCTTTGCGCGGCCATCGACATCCACCGATCTTGCCTCCGACCCCATGAACATCGACGACTTCATCGTTCCTATCGAGTCGCCCGCCGATCGCCCTCGGTCACCTCCAACAGATAAAGGGGCGACCTCATCCATGGCGATCCCCATCAAGTCTCGCAAGGAACAATCGGCCGAATCCACTCCCGTGCCAGCCTCCTTCCCTCACCCACCTCAAGACCAGCGTAGAAACAACGAGTTTGGCTATGTGCCCCGCCGCGTGCGCAAGACAAGCATCGATGAGCGTCAATTCTTCAATCTCCAGATTCCCACTCGGAAGCGGCCAGCCGAGTCCTCTCCGCAGGTGCCGCCCGTGTCGAACGCCATGCTGGCTCAGGATCCCCATTTGTCGGCCGGCGTTCCTGATTATACCCTTGATACTGCGTCGTCGGGATTTGCTCTCCACCATAACACCCAAAACCACCACAACAACAATAACCTCACGTCCCCCGGTGTCCCCTTTGGGTTGGACACTTTCACCTTGGGCGAAGATCCGATTCTCTCCTCGGCCGGGCCTTACCAGGCGCACTTTACTTTCTCTCCCAGCGACTCTCCTATGGCATCGGCCAACCCGTTTGCGAACCTATATGCGCAGACCCCAATTGCCTCATCGCTGAATTCGACCGAATTCTTTTCACCCCCTCCGTCGGGGTACCAGTCCTCCGTATCGACACCTCAGCCCACATACGATGGAGATCACTCCATGTATTTTGATATGCCTTCGATTGACGCTCGGACCCAACGGCGTATCCCCAACTACGTTACCCACCGTTCGAACTTGTCCGCTTCGCTGCAGCCGCGGTACATGTTTAACAACAACACCAGTAGCGAGCAACAGCACGGGATGCCCCTCGCCAGCAACCCGTCGTCCTCCGTTCCTTCCCCTGCCTATACTATCCCTCAGTCGCAGCATGTGGACCCGACGCAGGTGTTGAACCCAAGCGATTTCCCCACCTCCAACTCTCATGCCGGCATATTCTCGTTCGGTGCAGATTCTGACAACGAAGACGATGATGGTAACAACTACTCCGAGCGCGCTGGCCTGGCTATGCCCGCAGACTTTGGTGATGACAACGCCGGCGACGTAAACGGCTTGCACTGGGAGGGCCAGTTCCCCGGATCTTTCCACTCGCTATCTGGATTCAGCGCGCAGCACCGGAAACATGTCACGATCGGCTCGGCAGACATGATGGACACTCCCAGTGAGTGGAACCAAGGCGGCAGTCTTGGCCGCACGCACGGATCCGCTGCTTCGGTCAGTGAAGTGCGCAACCGCGAGCAGGACCCTCGTCGTCAGAAGATTGCTCGCACCACGTCGACCCCGAACACCAACCAGCTGCTGCGCCAGAGCATGAACAATACTTCCCACACATCGCCAAACACCCCTCCGGAATCGGGACTCAGCAGTGCTGTTCCGTCCCGGCCGGCGAGCCCTGGTGGCTCTAAGAATGGCGATCAGAGCAATGGGCCAACCACCTGTACCAACTGCTTCACTCAGACCACCCCACTGTGGCGCCGTAATCCCGAGGGTCAGCCCCTCTGTAACGCCTGCGGTCTGTTCCTCAAACTGCATGGAGTGGTCCGTCCGCTGTCGCTGAAGACAGACGTCATCAAGAAGCGAAACCGCAGTAGCGCCAACAGTCTTGCCGTGGGCGTCTCTCGTTCGTCCAAGAAGTCCTCCCGCAAGAACTCCGTTGCGCACGTCTCCATTACGACACCTACTTCGAGCCGCGCACAGAGTGGCACTACGTCCGAATCTCCACCGGCCGTTCCTGGAGGTGCGGCATCGGCCGCTGGCAGGACCGCAGCTGCGATGGGCAAATCTGGCGTGGTCCCCATCGCGGCAGCACCACCCAAAGCTGCTCCTTCTACGAGCGCTGGACAGAGCCGTAGCACCGTTCAGGTGGCCCCCAAGCGCCAACGGCGTCTGGAGAAAGCCAGTGAGACGGACGGTGCTGATGACAGCAACAAGCCCAGCACTTCGTCTGGCGGCCGGTCCAAGGTGGTTCCATTAGCACCTGCCATGCCTCCGGCAGCGGTGAACCCGGCCAATCATAGCATTGCTGGTGGTCAGGGTGCAAGCCAGGAATGGGAGTGGTTGACCATGAGTTTGTGAGCTACAACGCTTTCAAGCCTCATCGCCATTTACTTCTTTTTCCCTTTTTTGCCCGTTGAGATATTCTTCCTTACCCTATGACTTAATAGACGTGATGAATTACGCTCAAATCTGAGATCAACAAGATTGTGGGGTTAGTTGCTCGCTAGACGAACAAGGTGCTTGGGAGTGTTGACCGCGGCCTGACTGACCAACTGCACCTCACGATTCAGATTTACGACTATCTTACGACTGAGGGTGCGGCAATCCTGGTTTCTCAGGCACAGTCGTGGGTGGTATCTTTATCGTTGATATGAGTGATGCGATGCCTCTTTTCTTTGGGTTGATGTGGCCTCGGTGAGCGGGCGCGATACATCTTGATACAATGCATCCTCCAAGCCTCGATCTCAGTAGCATGCCGATAACGATTCGACTCTGCTCGTGCCAGATCAGCCTCTCGTCCGCGGTGTAGGACCGGGAGATTGGATACACCAAGCTTGTCTACGTTTTTATGTTGATTTGATGATTTCAGTTGCTTGATACAATCGCGTCTGTCCGGACCCCAGTCTTCGTTTTATGTTTGTGTCTTTCGTTTCGTTTTTCGGTTTCTTTGCATGTCCGTCGAGACTTGGGGCCGGCAGAAGTGCGCATCTCTGTTTGATTGTTTTCACTATTCTGTTTGACGGTTCGTGAGATTATTCTTAATTACATAGACTATGCCGAGCTTTGTATCGGTCAATTAAAGTGATTCCTGACAAGCCTTTCCATGGAGCGCATGCCAGACTATGAAGTCACCCTGCACGCTGTACGCCTGCGTGGCCATGACATCACTCTTTGAGCAAATATACCTCTTTTACCCTCTTTTACAATATATAGCATGCTCACCTAGGTATCAAGACAAGCATCAAGATCATCCATAGCCACGTCTCAATTCATCGCTGAACAAATCTACTCACCATGTCCGGAATGGCAGTACGTCTCCCCACCCCGAGGACATACATCCATTGACAAATACCAATACCAGGGCGACAATCGCTCTTCCTACGAGGGTAATGTACCCTACCCTTAGACAGTTCTAACACTAACACTAACACTAACGCCAATGATGCAAAACAGAAGAAGCCACCGACCCCATCACACCCACCCTGCACAACCCATCCCAGTCCTACGCCGACCACACCCAGGAATCGGCCAGTAGTGTCGCGGAGAAAATCGCCGAGGCGATGCAGCCGGGTTTGTACTCTCCCTATCCCCGGTTCCCAGCTGGCGCAGTCGAATTGACTTTGACGGGCGGCAGGCGATAACAAGAGCACGACGAGGTTGTTGTCGGATACGCCGACGGGGATGCGGGCTGGGGAGTGGGAGGCTTCTGTTGGAGGGGGGGATAGACGGCGGGATCGGGAGAAGGAGGAAGAGGGGAAGGGTGTGTTGCAGGCTGCGCAGGAGGCTGTTGCGAAGGCGTTGGGGGGTGGGTCGCGGGGTATGTTTCTCCTCGTTTTTCGTTACTGAGGTTGCTAATGGGTGTAGGGGCTAGTTGAATGGTTGGGTTGATCGATTAATACTGTCTGGGCGTGGGCATATGGGACTTTGATAGAAGTACGCAGTACGCAATGTCATTCTTTAAGTATTGTGAAAGAAGAAGATCAGCGACACTGTGCCTGGCTATAGCTGTACTCCAGGGCATGCAAAAGTCCCATGACATGAGCCCCAATGGAAAAGGTCACAAAGAGATGCCATATCGTATGCGAGTGGCCCCAGAGATCGAATGCCCCCGGGTACAGACTCTCAGGAACTCTCCTCTGCGTTGCGTCAGCAATCTTTCCCCTCTTAATGCAATCGAGGGAAGCCTACCTCCCAGAAGAAGCAGCCGATGATCAGAAACAACCCTTCGAGCAGGTAATACTGCACGCCTATCTTCCAGAGATACGGCACGCCCCACAGCACGCACGCATGGCCGATTGGCGCAAACGCGGAGAGACCGGTGCAGATGAAGCTGGCTAGGCGGAACGAACGCCATTCGGGACCCCTAAACCGCCGACTGAGGAGGGCCACGGCGGTTGCGGAGCTGAAGACCAGGATCTGCAGGGATCATATATCAGCGTTGAGTCCGCGACTGTGATTATAATTTGGGCAGGGCACTGACAAGCGACCAGTAGAAGTATTTCAGATTCGGGTTACAATAGAACCCGAAATGCAGTCCGCTGATGAAGTCGCCCAGAATGAGCGCGATAATCCCGACATAGTCGAGCTGGAGCCAACGGTGCGCGACGGCTGCGGAATGGCTCAGCAGGGTGTGGTACGTCGTCGATGTCAGGAGGCAGATTGAGGCCGTGAGAAGCTGCAGCGAGACGATGGACCAGTCGAGGTTGGAGAGGTTCTCATGCTTTGTGCGGATGTACTCGTACAGGATGCCCTGGGCCGAAAGCAACAGGATGCCCGGGATCAGATGCGAGTAGATGTTTCCCGTTTCGTTGTGGCAGTAGAGCCAACTGGCGAGGCAGCTATAGTAGGATCGGCTCTCGGGACGGTATCCTGAAAAGATGAACGGGTTGGGGTCGTACCATGGCGGAAGCTGTTTGATGGTGAGGAGGGTCTGTTTCTTGACAAGTTGCGATTGATCATGTCCTCCGCTCAGTGCGATCTCCTTGATCTGTTGGGAGCGGATAATCCGGAAGCGGAGGAGCCCATTGAAGACCATCTTGCTGTTGTTTGTCCCAGGAAGAAGCTGTCAGGGGACATACTGAGAATATAGGTCATGCTGAGGAAGCATAGAGGATTGTCTAGGGGTAGAAATAATGGCTTAAAGCCTTGGTGGTAAAAATAATAAGAATGATCATCTCCTCGCATCCTCATTCCTCCCATTGTCGGATCGTCAAGGTCCACTTCTCCCAATACAGAGAACCATGAGGTTATGCCGGCAATTATGATTGGGAGATCACAAAGAAGACAAGCAAAGCAACCACTACAAAGTCCAAACTCTGATTGGAGAGAAATGATAAGTCAACAAGGCTATTCAGGGGAAAGAATGACCTGCCGCATGCGAGTTACTAACGTCAGTGCTTGGCTGGTAGCAAATGTATGCCATAATCTACAAAGTGTCGAATCATGATCTTAGTGTTTCTGATCTTCAGACGACAGTATGTCACAGTATATGGCTTCCTGCTTTAAGACATACAATTGTGCCTTTCCGGCGAGGTGAAAAGCTGCCTCAGGCTACACTCACGTGTAGTCACGTGACTCTTCATCAAAAAATCAGATTGGGAATGGAGATATCCCCAAATGCTCATTGGCTCTGACATCCTCATCACCATATAAATTTTCTAAAACAAGACTTATTATCCTTCTACGCTCGCAAAGGATACTTGTCGCATAGAAAGTCCCAAATTGAGACCTTTGTGCGTGGTTCAAAGCGGAGAGTAAAATTGAGTATCGCGGCCTCGATTTTGGAACATCTCCCCGTCAAAGCATTCCTATCTTAGCACCCAAAGTCTATATTCCGGGGTTCTGTCATAATGGGCTCCAGCACGAAAAAGAAGGAAAAGAAGAAGGATTTCCAGGTAAGCATGCCATCAGCCTGCACCAGAGCATTACTAACGCATCCCAGAAAACGAAACTGAAAGTCGGCAAAAACAAGGCAAAGCCTGAAAACTTCACCGACACAAGTTTCCGAGCCAAAAGTACGCAGCCTGACTCTGGCGCATGTACATGCATATGGAAGTGCCATGCTAACGTTCCATCGCAGCCATCACACTCAACCAACAATCCCTTCACATCGCCGCCCCATCATCAGACGCCCAATTCACCCACCATGTCTCCCTGCTTTCTTCCAAATCCGACACTCAGCGCCGCGACTCGCTCGCGCACCTGACCACCTCCTTCGTCTCAAGGCCAGTAGACTCCCCCCTCCCCCAGCCCGTAAGCGTCCTCCTCCCCACCCTCCTCCCCCTGATCCTAGACGCAAGCTCCAGCGTCCGCACGCAGCTGCTCAAGCTCCTGCGTGCATTCCCCGCCCACGACATCCAGGACCACGTCCCCCAGCTCCTGCCCTACATCCGCGCAGGCATGACCCACCTCGCAGCCGACATCCGCGTCTCGGCCGTCGAGGTGCTCTCCTGGCTGGTGGACGTCGCAGGCGAGGAGGTGGTCTCCTGCGCGGGCGGCTGGATCAAGACGCTGAACTGTTTTCTGTCGGTGCTGGGCTGGCACACGGAGGAGTCGTCCAAGTGGTCGGGGAGTCGGGCTTCGTTCGGCAAGTCGGGCGCTAAGGGCCAGCCGATGGTTAAGGTGCTGGGCGCGCTGGCGGTGTTCCTGCAGGCGGGGATCGGGCGGCCTGACGACGGCATGGATGATTCTTCCGATACCTCCAACGAGGTGTCAGGGTGGGAGTTCCCGCTGTGTCATGCGGCGCAGCATATGGTTCCGCAGGCGACGGCGCCGTATGTGCATCTGAATCTGTTCGGGCAGCCTCGCGACGAGGAGGGTGAGATGTACGAGACGCGCGAGGATCGGTACCGCGTGTTTGAAAATCGGTTCCTTGGGGCTATGCAGCGTGGCTTGGAGGGTGCGCGCAGCGAGGGCGGGGAGGTGGGACGGGCTTCGGCGGGTGTGAGTAAGGTGCTTAAGGAGGCGATTGCGTATGGGCCGGGGCCGTGAAACCTGCCGGGGCGCTATAAACTTGCCGAACATCTATGCATCTCGCACATCAAGCAGGGTCGGAAGATCTCGACACCGACGACCTATCTGATCATCCGAAGCCTCTATAATCTGCTTCGAGGATCACTTTCAAACCCGATGGACAGTACAGTCACAAATAAGAATGACTATCAGACTGGCCTATGTGTCTCCAGGTCAAAGACGCCTCGGAACAGTGCGCGCAGGCGGATACGATAAAATACTACTCCTATCGGTGGCCTACGACTGAGATCAGAATCAGGGATCATCATGTCATACCAGTCCTGTTACTACATAGACAAGCGAATGGAACTACGTCAAATCCGTTTCTCTAACATCCCGTCCTTCCCACCGAGCATCTTCTCTTCCCGACCCCCGCCCTCCCCCAAAACCTCCTCCGAGCCCGCATCAACCCCATCCACCGTCCCCCTGCTATCGTAAATCTCATCCGCCAGCACAGCCCGCTCAATCAAGCTCTCCTGCGCCGGGAACCAAAGCGACAGGCCGATATAGACGATACTCGTGCCCACAAACCCCAACAGCCACCCAAACTGATACGGATGGATCCCAACCCCCACATCAATGCTGCTGTTCACAGACGCGATCAACCCCGGTAGATTCGGCGCCACGCCAACCAGGAACGCGGCGAGGGCGCGCCAGTTTATCCCCCACGCGGAATACCGATACGTCGGGTTCGAGGGCTGATACAGCGCCAGGGTATCGTACTTTCTCTGCTTGACGAGCCAAAAGTCCCAGAGCATGATTGCGCTGACGGGACCGAGGAAGATGGCGTACGCGGACATGAAGTTCAGGAAGCTTCCCGCGGACGCGAGGATCTTCCACGGGACGAGACACCACGACAGCATCGCGCAGATGATCTGCCCGCGGCGCAGGTTGATGTACTGCGGTGCGAGCGCGGTCAGGTCGTTGGCGGCGGAGATCGAGTTGGCGGAGATGTTGACGCCCAGGGAGGCGAGGGCGAAGGAGAAGGCGGCGAAGAAGCGGCAGGCGCGGCTGGTCCAGTGGCTGATCAGCACGATCGGGTCCCAGGGGATATCGCCGCCGTAGCGCGCCTGGCCGGCGGAGGAGGCGGCGATGCCGATGAACGATATGAAGGTGAAGACGATGGGGAGCATGGGGATGTAGAGGAGCTGCCATTTGGGGCTGACGCGGGAGTATCGAGAGAAGTCGGACTTGTGTCGGTGTTAGCATATCGGTGTCACCTCTGGGATGCGTCACATACCTGATTCACACTGAGCGTGGCATAGTTTCCCAGTACAGACGTCATATTCGCCAGGAACAGCCAGCTATACTTGGACCCGGAAACCGTGGGCTTCTGGTCAAACATTGCTCCGCCGCCCTCGGCCACGAACGCCCAGACGAGAATGGCCAGCCACGCAATGGGCACGATGATKGATTTGGCGATAAACAACCACCGGACTTTATTCGGGTGGATGCACAGGAACGGAAATTGCACAATAAAAAAGATTAGGTATCCCACCATCCCAGCGGTCGTGATGCCCTGGTCCTCGGGGATGTCATTCTTCAACGTCAGGAAACTCGGCCAGATGGCGCCGATCATGCACCGCACAGCATTGCCCCCGTTGACATTCTGTATCGCAAACCAGAAGATCGCCAGAATCACGCGAGAGATGATGGCGACGTAGGAGCCCCAGAAGCCCCAGCTCGCGCGGGCGATGACGGGAAACGGGATGTGATAGATGGCGCCGACGGCACCATTGGCGGCAATGACGAAGGAGATGATGAAGAAGGAGATGGCCACGATGGCGAGGGACTCGCGCCAGCTCAGCCCGACAGCGATGATGCTACTGGCGAATTGCCATGTTGCGGAGTTGAAAGCATCAGAGATCCAGTACGCTGTGGTCAGAGTCAGTAACCCAAGACCCAGATTATGAATTGTTGTATCTCACCGATAAAACTCAATGGCCCCCATTTTCGACGGTGAAGAGGGACAGGATCAAGATCGAGGTTGGTCCAGCGGGCATTTCCCTCTGCGAAAGCCGACTTGGGCTGGGCGACACGGAGACGGGTTCGCTTGATTATCATCGTGGGACGATGGAGTATTACAGTAAGACTAAGAAATGTTCAACAAGAGATCATGTGGAGCCCAGGTCAATAATGAAGAATTCGAAAAAAGAAAAAGCAATTATGATTGCATGCAGATGGCTTATCAAGGGAGGGGTGATGCAACATCGAAAGTACTCTGCGTCACCATCCATACACCTCAGTAGGGATATTCTGTCGCTGTCTATAAAGTAGACAAGGCCAATGTCATTAATCCACTTTCCCCAGGATTTTGAACAGGGGAGGCTACCTATATATCTATCCCAATCATCAAAACCATGACTGACTCCCTCGAGATAAGCCAGCTCGCCATGCTGATAAGGCAGCTGAATCCCTGCAGGCCAAGCGCACTGTCGACTTATCAGTTCACCGTCTCATTGGCGAAATTCTCCTTCGGTGTAACGCCATTAAAAGTCTGATAAGAATCCTGTCTGATCTTTAAAACTGAACCCAGTGTGGCGATTCGTGCAGATCACTTCGCGTCCCTCAGGGTCCATAAGTACCTAGAGCAAGATCATCCCGGTAGTATTGATGGCCTCGTTATTCGGGTCAACTGTCTTCGAGGTGTTGACTTTCCACAATTCCTTCATTAGATTGTCCTTGTCTTCGTTAAAAGAGGATCAGTCCTTCGAAGAAAGTTTCTGGAAAGGCAATGAGAGGATCATTTAATTCATGTACTTCGCGCCAGACTAATCCACCAAAAAGTGGCTCAGGATTCAAAGGATCAAATGCCCAATGCTAATGAAAATGGGATACTATGAAAACTTCAGTATCGTGGCCAACCATTAACCTGACATTAGTGTTGTTAACAGCGTAGCCCGTTCATACACTAGTTCTGGCCGCTTCATGACGGCATATTGAAACACGTAGAGATCCCAGGTTACTCCTTCTCTCCAGGAAGTCTCACATCCTCCCATCCCCTCCCATCACCAACACCAGGCA